GGGTTTTTTCCCGCTTTCTGTCTCTATGTCTCTCTCTGTCTGTCTGGCGAGCGCACGCGCCCTATAGCGAAAATCTCCCTCAAAAAAAAAAAATGTACATTTTTTTTTTCCCCTTCAGGGATTACAAGACAACTGGCTTCCCGAAAACCCACCGCACACAGGTGCCTACGGCTGCTTCAGGCAGAGCCCCAAGAATGTCAAAAGCTGGACTCGGGTAAGGTCTTCTTCCGCCCTAAGGACAGTGTGTGGTACTTCACCCTTTGCAAGGTGGCGTAAGGAGTCTGCTCGCCCGGGGCGCCCCTGGGTGCAGAGCCGAGGGCACTCGCTCGCGGGGGCCTGGCAGCTTTGCGAGGGAGACGCAGAGAGCTGGGCGCTGAGCGGACATCTCTCTCCGGGCGGGTTCCCAGGACCCTGGCTGGGCTCTCCGGAGCCCCGAGGGAAGGGGACGAGCCTCGGGGCTGCTCTCCCATGCCGGGGCTCAGTCTTCCCCTGGCGGGGGAGGCTGGGGCTGCCTGGGTGGAGCCCTCCGCCCTGCTGTGCCTCCTGTTCTCCTTCCTCCAGAACACAGACCTCAGAAGGGTGAGCGTCCCCTGGACGGTGGCCGAGGTGTCTGGCCGGCTGTCCTTCTTGTTTCTCAGCCAGGCTGCGTTCGGGGAGGGCGGGCTGCTCCTGCTCCCCACCTGGCTGCTGCCCCCCCAGTTTACGGTCCTCTGGCCCTCGGGGCGGGGCCTCTCGTTCTCCAAACAGGGCGTCACGGTGAGCGGCAGGTCGAATTTTTTGGGGAGCCTGATCTCCTGCCCTGCGATTTCCTTTTTCCTTGCTGCGTTTGGACCTTCTGAGCTTCCGGGGGGCGGACAGTGGTTGGGGTGGCCCGAGGACACCCTCGCTGGACCCCTCTCGTTGGCTCGCGCACTGTCTTTCCCTTCGGTGGAAGCGGCTACATTTGGCCTGGGCAATGCCGACTTCTCATCCCCACCAGCAGCGCCCGTCAGCAGCGGCACGATGGACTGGCTGGGGGGGCGGGGGCCCCTGGACTCCAAGTACTCCACCAACTCCACCGACGGCCCCGGGGCTTTCTCGCGGGGTCCAAAGGACCACCGCAGGGGCATGGTCTTGAAGGGCCCCTGCTTGATGCGGGAAGGGGCGGGGGCCTTCATGCTGACGCTCCTGTTTCCATTGCCGCGGACCAAAGGCCTGGACTCCAACCCTCCTGGAAGAGACACCAAGACCGTGAGTGCCCGCATGACCGTCCCGCCGCAAGACGACTGAGCGCAACGCCACGCACCTGCCACACCCCTGCGCTAATCCACCGTCTTGCGCAGTGCGTTTCCCTGCTTGAAGCCGTGGGACAAGCCAGTCAAAAATCCATCTCCCGCACCAGCAGCCGGAGGACTGGGCAAGGACTGCGCAAGCGCAGTCCGGGAGGCCCTTCTCATAGGTCTTTCAATGTTTTCAGGAAATGGAACGCTCAGCAAACGGCCCTGCTTTTCCTGGTCCAATTAGGTACCTGTCCATTTCAAATGCAAGAAGCTCAAGTATCTTACTTGGGCTTTTTTTTTAAGCTATATGCTTGATTTTTGTTCAGAGCTGCCGCATATGGCTTCCTTGTGGGTTTTACAATGTCTGTGTGTGGCTGGGAAGTTTCTAATACATACTGCTAAGACATGGAGTCTGGGGCCAGTGGGCCGCAGGGTGGGGAAGTGCGCTGGTCTCCCACACGGTTGGCTGTGGTTGGAATCCCAGACCTGGCAACTTGAAACTGAAGTTGGTCGCATGTGGGCATGTCCAAGAGGAGAATAGAGGAGAAGGGATTGCAGCACGGCCATTCGGCATGTCCAGGAGGAGAATGGAGGAGAAGGGATTGCAGCACGGCCATTCCCCCTGGGAGGTGATTTCTCACTTTCCCTCTCACTGTCTCTCTTTGTCTCTCTGGCAAGCGAACGTGCCCTATGGCAAAAAAAAAAACTTAAAAAATACCCAATCCACGTGGCACAAGGACAGTCACGTGTGCTTGCAGAAAGGCCGTAAGTCAGCTACACGAACTTTTCACGCACAGCTGGACCCTCTGAATACAGTACTTCGTAGAGTATAAGAGTACTATGTGGGACCAGCAGGTAGCATGGTGGTTAAGGCACTGGACACTTCCACTTGGCTGACCGCGGTTCAAGTCCTGGACCTGGTGGCTTGCTTTCTCACTCCCCACCCCTCCCCTGGTGTGTATGTCTGGTGAAATTAAAATAAATGATGAATAAATTAAATTAAATGATTTTTTAAAAAAGAGTGCTATCGACTGAAGGTTGTGTTCCCCCCAAATCCCTTTGTGGAAACCTATTTCTACCTGGGACGTGGCCGATGTGCAGTTCACTTCTCCACAGTGTGCACGGAGACCCCGAGTACCTTACTCTTCTGCCCTCCCCGAGCCTCCACCTGGAAACCTCTGGCCCCTCTGCAGACGGCATAGGAAGTGACTGTGCTACTAACCAGGGGTGGCGGTATCAGAGGTGGGGCCTTTGGGAGGCGCCTAGGTCAGGAGGGTCCATTCCTCCCATTGGTGCCTCTCTAAGAAGGGGCAGAGAGCTGGCTGGTTCTCTGACCACCCATGAGGATATGAGAAGCTCTCTGCACCTGAAAGAGAGCCCTTGTGAGAACCTGACCATGTGGGCCCCTTGACTGCAGACTTGCAGCCTGCAGAGCTGTGAGCGATAAATCCCTGTGGTCAATCGGCCCCCGATTCGACCAGGACGCACATGGACTCGGACAGACGGCAGCTCCAAAACTGAGCGAGGACTGCTTCTGCGAGAAGCACCCCCCTCACGGCTCAGCCAAGCAGATGTGCTGTCTGCGAAAGACTGGAGCTTTTCAGGTGCCCGGGGGACAGCTCGGGGAGAGCAAAGGAGTGAGGTCGAAGGGTCTCTGTGCACCCCGCTGGGAAAGCCACGTGCCCGTGGGCCGCACACCCCGGGCAGAAACGACTGAAGCAGGAGGAAGCAGAGCACCCATTAACCGCAGGAGTTTGAAAGCATCTCTGAGGCGCCTCGAGGATCTTGCCTTTCAGGTTTTTCACAGAGAATTTTTGATATCTCTTTCTTTACAGCATTTCTTTAGATTAGCCAGGAATAGACACGATTTCGCCCTCGATTCGTTATCATTTCAGTTTGGACTGACCTTGTTACATTGTTCCACCGTGAAGTCACATACCTCAGGGGGAAAATGTTCTGGGACCTGAGATGTGTGTGAAGTGTTTTTTGTGGGTTGTTTCTTTTTTTTTTTTTTTCCCCCTCTTCCACAGCACTGGCTAGGGCGGCAAGGGGAGCTTTGTATTAGGAGGACAAAGCTGTGACTTTTAGCCTTTCGAAATGAGAGACTATCACCTGTAGCCCTGGCAGGTGGCCCGAGGCCTTGGCAGCTGCCCTAAATAGCCGTCCTCCCTTTCTTCCTGGTATGAACGGGCCGAGGCCAGGGCAGACGGCAATGCCTGAGCTACATCTCACGGGAACCACCGCGCCCTCGGGTCCCGTCCCTCCTCTTTCTCAAGATGGCACGGAAAAAGCACCCCCGCTGTCTTTATTTTCTTTCCTTCTACTTATTGGACTATAATTCCAGGATTTGGAGGAAAAAGAGCTTTAGATAAAATCGAGAGATAAACAGTACCAAGGGGGGTGAGAAAGCATTCACGCTGGGCTCATGCCGACGATCTACTAAGTAGCTCCCTCCTTGGCTCTCTTTACTCTTGATCGAGCCCGTGTGTGTGCACAAGACACACACACACATACACACGCGCACACGCATGCACGAGGACCCTCCACGGGGGCTGCCCACATTGCGATCCCCTTCCTCCAGTCCTCCAGCCCAAGGGATGCCAGACACTTTCATACATGCCCAGTTTGTTTCCAGGCTGCCAGGCAGGGATTTGAACCCCACTGGTGGGCTTCTGCCGAGGAATAATTTACCACTCTGCCATGGAGCAGGCCCGAAGTATTCCACTTCTTGTTCAAGGGGGATGCAGGCAAGTCCTGATGCCCCTCTCTTGGGGAGACAAACTCTCTGGAATCCCGGGTACTGGAGGTGGAGGTGGTGTTTGGAAAGGCTGACTCCCGCTCAGCGCTCCCCTCCTCCACCCCAAGAGGAGCCCGCGGCATTGCCCATTTCCAGCCAGTGCAGTTTGACATCCTGGAAGGTCATGGAGGACAGGAACACTTAAGTTCCTCCTGAAGGTTACATAAGCCCCTCAGCATACGCGATGAGCCTGCCGGTCCCACAGAGCCCTCTGCGTACAGATGGAGCCGGTGCAGCTGCCAGCCCAGCCCAGCCTCCCAGCAGCTCTGAGGCCGGCAGATTCCCGCTGTCAAACGCCACATCTGTTCCTATCCATGTGTGGTCACCTTGGCTCCTATGTGATGGTTTCTCCTCGGCTACTGAAATGAGCCATCAGTCTGACCTCATGGTGTGTGTCAAGAGTGGCGGGGGGACAGCTGGGGAGAGCTCCTCTCGCCATCCTCTGCAACTGCAACAGGATAAGACTTTTCCTATGAAGGGCTTGCAATCTCTCCAAGGGCTTCCACTGTGCCTTAGACAAGGGGCTTGACAAGTTCTTCATGGAGGGCCGGCAGGTGGCATGGAGGTTAAAGGCACTGGACTCCCATATGGCCGACTGTAGTTCAAGTCCTGGACCTGGCAGCTTGCTTTCTCAATTTCTCTCTCTCTCTCTCTCGTCAAATTAAAAAATCAGTGGAATCGGGTATGTGGAGGGATCCAGCACCTTCAACTCCACACCACCCGCTGGCCCCATCTGTTGTCTTTAAAATAACTTGTTGCTTCCTTCTCTCATCAATCACTGATGGCAAGATGGAAGGGTTGGGGCATGTGCTGGTGTGGGCAGAGCACACAGGGACCAGCAGCTGGTGTAATGGCTACATTGCTGGACTCCCACGTAGTCGACCATAGTTTGAATCCCAGACCCGGTGGCTTAAACTCATGCCGGGCACGTGTGCGTGCGTGCCCAAGATCCCAAGAGGAGAATGGAGGAGAAGGGATTGCGG